GACACTGCTGGATTGGGTGACCGGCTAAGGCCGCCGGCAACGTTGTGGGCAGCAGAGGGCCGCGCAGCACATCGCTTGTTGGAATGTACTTCTATGCTGCCACGTCAGTGATCACTGTCTTCACCAATACTCACCCGACCAGCGTGGTGCAGTATGAGGCCTCACATCCAGCAGTGGAGGAACAAAAGGGCCGTACATATATTTGTGTATATATATTTTAAATTGGTTTACATGTGGGTGTAATTGTATATCGCAGGGAGCAGCGGTGTAGCAATTCTCACTGCACTACGATCCCAGCAACGTGGAGCTCGACTCTTGACCGTGACACCCGCGACCGTTAAAAGCCATCTCGGGGACCCTAGATAATTCTGGCTGCATTGCACAACCAATACAATACTTTGATTCCGCGCTGCCCTTCAGAGCATCGGCGCATTTAAGCGCCGTTCGCCGTGGACAAATTTATCGCCAGCCGGATGCAACGAACGTCGCAATTACCTAAGAGGGCAACCGGTCCTCCATACGCGCCTAATGGATTAAAAGCGGTAAGACCCCTCGCTTCTGCTGAACCTCCCTTTCCAGGGTCCCCCCCCCCCCAACCCAACACGTGTTGACAAAGCCTCCACATTCGTCAAGTCTCTCATCCGTAAGCATCGTCGTGCGGAGAGATGATGCACGGCGGTCGTGAAACCCATTGACCCGAGTTTGATTCCCTGCTACGCAGAACATCAGTCTGTTGTGGATGTGCGTTGAACTTCTTTCACAGCGCACGTAGCCAATCGTGCTAACCGGAGGTGCGGCGGAAAAGCAAGAAACGAAACACAAAAACACTTCAGAAAAAAGTTTTCAAGCCAGATTTAAAAGTTGCATAGCTGTGGTGGATTCCTAATATTGGAAGGAAGCGCATCTGAAAGCGCACCATGCGGTGACCGTCTGCGTCCGATGGTCGGCCAAAAGTGGCGAGTTCCACAGAAACCCTTCCCGCATTGCAGGCGTCAGGGTCGGGATCGAACCCACGACCTCCTGCATACAAGGCGAGGTAGTTAACATCTCCTAGCCACCGTGATGATGATGAGAGAGGGACACACAAACTCCAAATACACAGCAGCAGCAGGCGTCAGGGTCGGGATCGAACCCACGACCTCCTGCATACCAGGCGAGATAGTTAAGATCTCCCAGCCACCGTGATAGAGACGCAAACTTCACCGAATTGCAGACGTGGAGTAAAACACAACGCACCCATAATCGGCACGGCGTGGGCAGTCCTTCATCCAGTTGTGGATTTAGAATGGCTGGAATGTAGTATTACTTTAATCCCTAAGCGAGCACCTTTCACTTTAATAGAGATATATTTTAAGCGCTTTGGGGGGTGGGGGACGGGATTTGTGAAACTCTTCACGCCCACGGGGCCGCGAGGCAGCCAGGGAGAAGGCCGTGCCGCTTCCATTATTCTTTCGCACGGCTGCAGTGCCGGATGAAGCTAGTGCGGGGCCTGTAGCATATGTTATAAAAGAGCCCTAAATAAAAAAAAATATTAAAACACATCAATTGTCTAACTTGCACAGTGAAGTAATTGTATTTTTTCATTTGCTATACAGCCAGATAATACGACAAATCGCTCACCTGAAACACCCAGTCGTTCGTAAAAGTTGAAGGCGGTATAGTACTATAGTAATAGAGCAAGTGCAGAGTCACTGAACCGGAATTGATAGCTTGAAAGCGTTTAGCGCGGGGCCCTTGAAAGTGCGGGGACCCGTAGCATGTGTAGCTACTTTTGCTGCTAGGATAATCCGGCACTGCACGGCTGATGTAGATGCAGAGCATGAACTTAAATGTCACATTCAGGTGATGGTCAAGCCAAGACATCCGCGTCAGGAGTAGCGGAGTTGTATCATCATCATCATCATCGCCGCGATGTTTCCTTCGTATTTGTGTGTCGGGGCGTTGCGTCGTTCTAGGTTGTACCGTCTGATGTGGATGACCACAGTCGCACACAACTGGAGATTTTAATGTTTCCATTTGTGCATCAGGTACCCGCATCTGCGGCGAGCGGGTTTGTGAGCCCACATTGATGGATCTATTATGTGGAATGTCCTCGTGAGTGAGATGGGTTTTCTCTGTGATCTCTGGATATAGCACGCAATTAAAATCCTAATTAAAAGGGTGTTTGACCAAACATTCCATTCTGGGAACCTCCTAAAAATAAGTATTGAGACTCTGCGGGGCCGGCCTGGATAAACAAATTATAGCATTACTAGGAGAGTATTATGAAAGTGACCGCTATTCACTTTCGACAGAGAGTAATTAAGATTTTGTTTAATATTATTTCAAATAACTTGACTCAGAAAACATCACGTTATGCCTGTAGAGATAATTACTCTGTGAGTGAAGAAGAAGAAGAGGGGGAGTGGAGTAGAGACGGCCCAATGCCATGAGAGGTGATGACGGCTTGGGAAGGCCGTCATCCAGCAGTGGATTGATCATGGTTGATGATAATGAACGACTCTTTGATACCAGATGTTTCTCTTTTTTGTCAAGGGAGCTCTGGACCAAGGGAGGCCTAATTATCACCATAGATGCGTGCCTACATTATTGTTTATTACAGGCCGCATACCCTTTGTGAGATAAAAAAAAAACCCATTCTCAATACAGCACAGTATTACCCTTACATGGTTAGACAGCGCAAGTCGAAACAAAGTCAGCATCTCCATGCGGGAAAATGCACACGAGGTATATGGCTCATGCCCATTGTCAACCCTGGGCCAAGGGTGGAAATTCCCACATTCCTGTGGCATCAGTTGCTGTCTCCATGAAATCACCTTTCACTTCCCATGACAGCGTTCTTCATTTTATCTGATGCCAGGCCACTCTGACCCAGACCTGAAATTTGACCCCGCGACCTCCCAACTCTGATCCCGGGAACTTTTTGCTGTTCTCGTCGTTGTCGTTGAATTTTTACTTGATTAAATAAAAAATGTCTAATGACAGGGCAATAAACACATTACGGATGACAGATAACGGTGCAGGTCTCCGAATCGTAAAAGTATCGTGCACGGACACGTCCAACGTAACCGGCACCACAATCGGATTGAACTGGGCTGGAGCTTACGACTCGGTTCGGTCGCTGTACGTCCAATTGTTTAAAATAAAATAAATAAAAAATAGTCTTTGCCCGGTGGGCCCTGCCGTGGGCTTGCACACATCCATGGGCGTGGAGGCCTCTTCGAGGTCGGTCGTTGTTCTGTTATCCACTTCAAAAGTCCAAAACCTGCGCACAAGAAAGAGAGGCATCACACTCGGCCTCTAAGTCCACACCGTAAACAATGTGTGTGCTCATAGTCCACCAGCCACGCGGAAAAAAATCGATCTTTGATCGCTGTACAGGATGGTCCAAATGTCTTGTGACCCCGCCCCCCGAATTAATTGACCCCCCCCCCCCTAACATGTTTTCCTTTGCATATTTATTTTTGTTTTAAATAAACCCTTTGTAAGAACGTTCATATTTAGATAATTAAATGGCGGTCACAAGACATCTGGACCACCGTGTATATAACAACTAGGTAACACAATATTGTAAGCAACATTCAACAGCATGAGCGTATTTAACACATTCAGAAATCAGAAGTTTATTCCCCGAGTAAAGCTCCATTGAGCTAAGCAGCTTCTTTTCAAGGGCGGCTCAGACCTAACAGACAAAAGCATTCCACAATTACAGACGTATAACAATAAATAAACAAAACAAGCGATGATGTCAAATTATATCCACACTTAAACTTTAGTGATTTCAAGAGAACGATTTAAATGACAAGAGATGGCACCAGAGTGGAGATTCCAAGAAACGGAACTTTGGAAGTTACAACACTTTTGAGGGCAGCTACAAGTAAATAATTTAGATCCAAACTCTTAAAACATGTTCAACTCATATGTACATGTAAACTATCATTTATCTTACGAGATAAGGCTCACTTGAGCTATATACATGGGTCTCTTTTTCAGAAGCGACCTGGCCACAAATGATAGCTCAACGAAGTTGCTTATCGATACGTGGACATAAAACTAAACTTTTAAAAAAAAATCTCACCAGGGAAATGAGCTGTGTAACTTATTTTTCAGAAGCGACCTGGTCATCTCAAATGATTGCCCGACGAAGTTGCTTATCGACACGTGGGAAAATGTATAGCAGCCAACGACTCTCAACGCGTGGTGATGTTGTTGATTCTAAATGTAGAGGTGAAAAAACCGGAGGACACCGCAAACTCCAAATATACAGCAGCAGTAGGCGTCATGGGCGGGTATCGAACCCACGACCTCCTGTGTACCAGGCGAGATAGTTAACATCTCATAGCCACCGTGATGATGATGATGAGAGACACGCAGACTCCAAATACACAGCAGCAGGCGTCAGGGTCGGTATCGAACCCACGACCTCCTGTACACTAGGCGAGGGAGTTAACATCTCATAGCCACCGTGTTGATGATGATGATGAGACACGCAAACTCCAACTATACAGCAGCAGCAGGCGTCAAGATTGGGACCGAACCCACGACCTCCTGCGTACCAGGCGAGGTAGTTAACATCTCATAGCCGTCAGGTAAAACTGAAGGTAACAACAGACGCGCATGTAAGTTGCCGGCGACGATCAGCGATGCGGGGAGGAGGAGGCAGGGAGGGGGTGGTGGTGGTGGTGGGGGTGGTGGTGGTGGGGGTGGTGGTGGGGTGGTGGTGGTGGGGGTGGTGGTGGTGGTGGGGGTGGTGGGGGTGGTGGGGGTGGTGGTGGGGGTGGGGGTGGTGGGGGTGGTGCAGGTGACACGCCGGGAGGGGCGGGCTGCTCGCCTGGGGAGAGGAAGGAGGGTGGCCGAGTGACGACGTTCCGCCCTCACCTGGTTGCGGAAGGTAGAGCCCGCCCACTTCCACCCACCCACTTCCACCCACCCACCCACCTCCCGACACCTACCCACACAGCTCCCCCCCGCCCTCTTCAAGGCAGCGGAACGACAACAACGACAACGACGTCGTCGTCGTCGTCCAGGGAGGCTGCTCCGGGCCTTGTGTGTTGGCCTCTCGTGAGCGAAGCCACGGAATTCGTGGGCCCCCGCCACGCCACGCCGTGGACGTCTGACGGGGCGGGCCTCGTGCGGCCACTCCGTGCGGCCACTCCGTGCGGCCTGTGACGGTGGTGGTGACGGTGGTGGCAGGGATAGCTCCTCAACGGGCTGACTGACTTGCTTCGCTGTCTCGACAAGGTGAGCTGTTGTTGTTGTTGCTGCTGCTGCTGTTGTTGCTGCTGCTTCTGTGGCTTGTATTGTTGTTGTTGCTGCTGATGTTGTTGCTGTTGCTTACTAACTAACTTACTAACTTACCAACTAACTTACTAACTAACTTACTAACTAAGCAACCATCTCTGCACGAGACGCGTGCGTGTCCGTGCACGCCACTGCTGTGTGTAAACAAAGACAAAGATCCCCGTGTAGCCTCGCCGTCGCTTGCGGGGCAAGTGCCGAGCAGCAGCAGCAGCAGCAGCGCCTGTGAAGGCCGGCACGGCATATCGATGCGTGGTTGTGGGGGGTGGTTGTGGTTGTGGGGGGTGGTGGTGGTTGTGGGGGGTGGTGGTGGGTGTGGGGGGTGGTGGTGGGGGTGGTGATGGGGGGTGGTGGTGGGGGGTGGTGGTGCTTGATGGGGGGTGGTGGGGGGTGGTGGTGGGTGGTGGTGGTGGTGGTGGGGGGGGGTGGTGGTGGTGGTTGTGGTGGGGTGGTGGTGGTGGGGGGTGGTGGTGGTGGGGGGGTGGTGGGGTGGTGGTGGATGTGTGGTGGTAGTGGTGGATGTGTGGGGTGGTGGTGGATGTGTGGGGTGGTGGTGGATGTGTGGGGTGGTGGTGGATGTGTGGTGGTAGTGGTGGATGGTGGTGGGTGGTGGGTGAACAGCAGCATGACCACACTGCTACTCCTACTACGACGCTGTTGTAATGCTACTCCCGTGCTGTCTGCGTGTTTGTGTACGTGAGACAGACACACAGACACGTGTGTGTGTGTACTTACATAGCGTGAGTGGACGTCCATCCCACACGCCTTTGTTGTTGACACGTACAGAGATGATGATGATGATGGCCTCCACTTGCAGTGATCCCCAGACGTTATCTGTAGTCCGTCTTCGTACGGTGTTTTGTTTTCCTGTCGGGGACGTCTCGCCGTGTCTCTGCCTCTCTCCATCTCACTTTCTGTGTCTGTGATTGTCTCACCCGTGTCTGTCCCCTCTGTCTGTCTCTGTACCGGTTTCGTTTTTGGCAATGGCGTTCTGTCACTATAACCCCATTGTGTTTGTCCATCTGCCTCTCTCTGTGTGTGTGTGTCATTGCATGTCCCCCCATCTGTGTGTCCCTGGGTGTTGCTCCGTGTCTCTGTCTCCTTGTTTGTGATCATCACTTTCCATAATAGTTTTTTCTTTACCCTTTTATCTGGCAACAAAGCCGATACCGTTTTGTTTTACAAGGGATCATGTTTGCATTAACCACAAAACCTGCGGTCAAAATGCAAACAAAAAGACAACACTGATCATGTATTGGCATTGTCCTTGAAATTGATTGGTCCACATCCGAGACAACTTTTCTTAGAGCCCAGTCTCACGTGGTGTTGGACCAGATGCGTCTCTCTCTCTCTCTATTTGCGTCTATCCGTAGTGTGTGTGTGTGTCTTGTCTCTCAGATTTTCGCTGGGCATTGTGTCTCCCGTGTCTCGCTACGTGCCTGTGTCTTTTGTCTGCCATTTACGGTATCTGTTTCATATTGTGAGTGTCTCTGGACATCTCGTCCTGTGCGTCTCACGTGTCTTATGTGTGTGTGGCTTGTCTGAATGCCAACTCTTCGTGTTTGCCTCTCTGTCCCACTGAGTTTTATTGTAGCTGGTCAGCCGGAAGTCCTTTGGACATCTGTCACAGAGATCTTCTTCACAGCTCATTCGCTTCTCACAACTTTCATCTGTCGTGCACGCCTCTCTCTCTCTCTGTGTGAATCTGTGTGATTAGTGAGCTCTGTAAACGTCGCCACTGGGGAGACAAAGGTGGTCGGGCGTGGTGCTGGTCACTCACCCCCCCCCCCCCCCGTGTGCCACAGTGACGGCTAACAGCACTTGCCCCAACAGTCTGTTAAGACTACACGGGGGATCTTTGTCTTTGTGTGTGTACAGTAACACATTGAGTAAAAGATTAACAGGATTTTTTTTTTAAATATCAGTGAGTGAAAAGAAAAAATAACATTTCCACGGCCAACTGGATTAGTTCTTAAGTACAATACCCTATACTGTACACCTAATTAATTACAGCATGGTAATTGTGCTAAAGTGAGGTTTATAAATGGATATGTTTCAATGTCATGCGATAGAATGTGTACTAACTATACTGTGGACTTCCTGGTGCAAGCTTTATTGAAGGTCTGTAAGTCGGAACAGTGAGCAGAAAACACGTTTTTACAGTGGCGTGGACTCCATACGGTGCAGTGAGTGCATTGACCTGCACAGGTCAGTATCAGAGTTAGGGCACCACGGTGCCTATGAGATGTTAACTACCTCGCCTGGTGTGCAAGAGGTCGTGGGTTCGATCCCGACTCTGACGCCTGCTGTATATTTGGAGTTTGCGTGTCTCTCATCATCATCACGGTGGCTAGGAGATGTTAACTACCTCGCCTGGAGTGCAAGAGGTCGTGGGTTCGATCCCGACTCTGACGCCTGCTGTATATTTGGAGTTTGCGTGTCTCTCATCATCATCACGGTGGCTAGGAGATGTTAACTACCTCGCCTGGTGTGCAAGAGGTCGTGGGTTCGATCCCGACTCTGACGCCTGCTGTATATTTGGAGTTTGCGTGTCTCTCATCATCATCACGGTGGCTAGGAGATGTTAACTACCTTGCCTGGTGTGCAAGAGGTCGTGGGTTCGATCCCGACTCTGACGCCTGCTGTATATTTGGAGTTTGCGTGTCTCTCATCATCATCACGGTGGCTAGGAGATGTTAACTACCTCGCCTGGTGTGCAAGAGGTCGTGGGTTCGATCCCGACTCTGACGCCTGCTGTATATTTGGAGTTTGCGTGTCTCTCATCATCATCACGGTGGCTAGGAGATGTTAACTACCTTGCCTGGTGTGCAGGAGGTCGTGGGTTCGATCCCGACCCTGACGCCTGCTGCTGTGTATTTGGAGTTTGCGTGTCTCTCTCTCTCTGTCATCATCATCACGGTGGCTAGGAGATGTTAACTACCTCGTCTGGTATGCAGGAGATCGTGGGTTCGATCCTGACCCTGACACCTGCTGTATATTTGCAGTTTGCGTGTCTCTCATCATCATCACGGTGGCTAGGAGATGTTAACTACCTCGCCTGGTATACAGGAGGTCGTGGGTTCGATCCTGACCCTGACGCCTGCTGTATATTTGGAGTTTGCGTGTCTCTCTCCCTCTTCCCGTGGTCGCGTGAATTTTTCTCCGGCTTCTTCAGTTTTCCCCACCACATTTAAAATCAACGTGCATTCAAATAATTTGTCTGCTATGCATTTCCACGTGATAAGCCACTTATTTGAGCAATCATTTGTGGTGATCAGATCGCTTCTTAAAAATATATATATATAGTTCAGCGGGCCTTGCCCGGTAAAATACCATGTTTTATGGTTTTAGTTTATTTAGTGTTTGTACGGAAGTGAAATTCCTGCATCAATTTAGCGAGATTCGGATCCACAGCTTTGGAGTCTTGTTCCCCTTTCATATGCGTGGGTTTCCCGAGGGTCTCCCCTCCACCCCGCCCCCCCGTTTCCATCCCACACGAAGCCAAGCTCACGAAAGGACATTGGCCCAGACTCTCTCCCCCCCGCCCCCCCTGCTGAGATGCACGGCCTTGAGATTTGTGGCCTTTCCTCTGTAAATACTGTCAAGGAAATGATCACCGTACTGTAGTGTATTACAGTATTGTGGTTCAGTCTTCATTTGAAGCTTTCGTGACTGCAGGAATCCATAATCTGTGTTTCTTTCGTTGAAGTCACGTAGGTCGAAATAAAAAAAAATAAAGCAAATCACGACGTTTCGATCGCAACACGAGCAATCGTCATCAGGTGGGACAATTGCATCAAGAAACAACTGCTGAAGAAGGCTGCAGCTCTCTCGCCTTCTTCAGCAGTTGTTCCTTGCTGTAGTTGGCCCACCTGATGACGATTAGCATTGTGTTGCGATCGGAACGTCGTGATTTGCTTTAATTCATTTCTAACTACGTGACTTTACCGAAAGAACCAACGAGTATTGTGGTTATTGGTATTATTACTGGCTTTAGTGGGAAGTGAGCAAAGTCGATCAACATTACCGTATTATTATTCGTGGTTTCTGTGCGAAATTAAAATAAGGATTTTTTTTGTTATTTGAGTATTAGTGTTGTTATATCTGAACCATGGCGGGAGGTAGCATTCATCCAGAAGTTGATTGGTGTGTGTGGGAAATTATCAAAGTTACATTAACACAAATTAAGTTCCGTGTTCATGGTTTTGTGTGGGAACGCAGAACTGTACAGTATTTTTCGCAAGGTCTTTCAAGGTGCTTCTCGTTGTGGACTTAATTAAAGTCACCGTGTGACATCATTCACAAGAATAGATTGCCACATGTCATCGTCACTGCCAGAATCCCAAATCTCAAGTTCTTTTTTTTCCTCAACTACGTTTAACTTTACGAGACCTCCTTTGCCAGTAACAAGATATAGGAATAGGTTTTACCCTTTTAACTGGCACAAAAACTGACACCTTTATTCAAGGCATCAACACCAGTGGAGACTAGGCTCTAAAGAAAGCTGTCTCGGGTGTGGAACCAATCAAATTCACGGACAGTGCCAATATTATTATCAGAGTTGTCTTTTTGTTTGCATTTTGACTGCTTGTGTTGTGGTTATTGCAAACATGATGCCTTGAATAAAGGTGTCAGTTTTCGTGCCAGTTAAAAGGGTAAAACCTATTCCTATACGTTTAACTTGCATTAAAAAAACAACAGTTTCCACATAAGGTCCATTAATATAATGCAAAACAAGGTCTTCCTTTGCAAAAGGTAATCTTACTCAAGCTCGACTAAAGGTCAACAAGAGCCGTTGTAGAGTTTTGAATATCATTAGAGTTGGTGCTGTATTTAGGTCCACGTGAAGTGTTTCTGGACAACTTTCAGGTTTTTTCCCCACTTTCAGTTCACTCCAAGTAGGTCAACACTCTACTGTTTTTAGGGCCCTCTTACTCTCTGTT